GCTAATTTATCTGACACATCGTGACTCACGGTAGCCTTGTATTTTGGCACTTTTTATTAGTGGAAGGGAACACTTAGCTTAACGATGACAAGAGCCGCCTGTGCGCAGGCTCTGTACAGAGGTTCAGTTGGAGATCGAATATGAGAAGAACAGCACATACCAGCACTGCAGCTAAAGGACCTGCACAAATGTGGAACAAGAAGAGAAAAGTTAGCATTACTTTTATCATTAATTTTTACAAATATTTGGCACATTGTGGTTGAATATACCCTTAAAATTAGCTAGGCTACTTTCGGCATCAGTCAGGGTGGTTAAAATGAAATTTTAAGTGTCCATTCTTTTAGTTCTGATCTTTTGTACCTGATGTTTGCATTTACCACAAGCAAAAGGGCAGGTGACTTGGAATAAAGTGTAACTTCACCATGCACCCAGGAAGACTGTCCTCAGCTTTGTTCTCCCATTGGACGTGGTTTTGCCTAGAGCTTGGCTATTTCGAGATATTACAAGGTCACAAATTTGGGATGTGTGGTCTTTTACACTATTAAAGCAAAATGCTAAGTGAGGTGGCATGATTTGATATTAGTTCCAAAGCAGAAGTTCTCTCATTCAGACTCAACTTGCAACCTGGATAAAATTGTAGACAAAATGTGGAAAAGGTGGAGTCTGTGTGCTACTAAACATCTGCAGTCATTTATGATGAAAATAAATTCCAATAAAAGTACTTTGCAATGGCGATTAAAAGGCATCCACAATATTGTCAGACATCCTCTTCAGTGTATGAATGATTTAACTGTAAAATTGATATAGTGCAAAGTCCCTAAGCACAGGTCCTGAAAGCAGCACAGCCTTATAACCAGGGCATTATCTGTGGCAAGCTCCATGATTTATGTGGGTATGCTTGTAAGAAATGCCTTACATGTCACACTGTGTCCTGTTGTGTATGTGTATGTTTGTAAAGATGTATGTATGGTATCTATTTCCCAAGGCAGCTGAAATGTAGGTCAGATGCTATTCTTCTGTGTGAATTGTGACCTAAAAAGTGCAGGAAGGATTGCAGGGATTAAGGATGTACTCCGCATAGACCATTTCAGCCATTACGGTCATTTTGGCCTCTAGGAGAGATCAAAGGAGATTTATTCCACGGCACAGAGAAGCGAAGGTCATTCTGAAAATGGAAGGAACATGGTCTTCATTATACAGTTCACTTTGCCTTACAATCGTGGTTCACAGTGGACATTTGAAAACAGTCAAGATAACAGTAAAGGAGAGAAGGATACCCTTTCCTTACTGAGACTGGGAATCAGACATTCCTCCCTCCAAGAGCAATGCTACCATGTGTGCATCATTTAAGCTGTGCAAGTTTCTAATCTTGTTTGGATAAATCCTGGGACATTTTTAGCATTACACTGTTCCTAATTTGGAATAGAGTTCTGTGTGTTTCAGCTTTGGAACAGTGAGGAAATGAGTGTACAATCTTGTTGGCTATAATACAAGTCAGAATTAATTGCTATTTTTGTCACCCGGATTCTTGTTTTTTAGATTTTATACAACATGATACACAACCGTCTTCTGTAAATCGCTTTAAAAACAGAAACATCAATTTATCAGATGTTACCTGATGTACCTGTTTAACGGATTATACATTTATTTTTTTATTAGCTTGCTGTTACTTCACTTGTTCGGAGTATTCAGTTGCAATTTGGTTTAAGAATTTATGCCGCTATAATCACTCATACAAAAGCAGTTATCTGACTGGCAGCAATCATAGCGACCAGTCCTCACTGGATTCCCTTGCACTTATCTGTAGCTAGTGTGCTGCAAACAATTGTTGATTTTATCAGACAAAATATTCAAAATTAGAATCTTGTAACTGGTGTATAATTCATTTGTTGCTGCTGGGCTTGACTAATATATCACTGTTCTTTTTTCATGTTGATAAGAAAGTTAAGAAACATCTAGCCTCCAACTGCCCTTGTGGCGACACGCTATCGAAAGCTCGCCTTCAGTGGCCCATTGATTTATTGTGTATTTAATATATAATCTGCTGCCAGATGTCTCCACTGGTGCTAAGAGGCTTAGGACCAGTTTGAATTAAACATAAATTGTTGCTAATGTCTGCTCCTTTTGCTTTGGGATTTAGCAAGAGAATTGGGTGATGCTCCTACTTTGTGTAAGCCTTCATCATCGGTCATACAAGAGTTTTTTTTTGGTGGCTCTTCATTATAGTCAGAATTCATAACAAGACAACTTGAAAATTCATTCCAGATTATTCACTCTATACCGTTTCTGTTATTTCATTCCTGCACCTCATCTAATATCCCACTCCCCATATACTATATTTGTGCAGAGGTCTGTTTTTATGTAGCCAACATAATGGGTAAAGCATAAGGCCCGCCATGTGCTTGCCAGTCCTCACCCCAGTCCTCTCCCAATGTGACGCTCCCCCGTGTTGCTCCGACCCTATGAACACAGGAAGCCCTCTGTTGATTAGAAATGCATCGACTTGTCAGATCTTCAACCTCCATTGGTCAATGCGTATCCCTTCTGATTGCTCTCTATTGGCTCCTAGTTACAGCCACACTAATATTCAAGGCCCTAGTCTTGGTTTAACGAACCTCTTAAGGATCAGTAACTCGCCATCTGCCAAGATATTGACTGACTACTATAGTTTGCAACCTGTGGCCTTTATTTAGTATTTTTCCCATAATCCCCACCAGTGCAGTGAGGCAGTGAGCTAACCACATCTGTCAGATATGTTGAATCACTTCCCTGTTCTAACACAGCTAATGCCTCAGCTACTCCGACTATACCTCAAAGTATTTTTGGTATTTCCTAATTTGCTCTACCTGCTACTAAGCTGTGATTAGAATTTTGAATACTTTTGAAGTTGCTTGCTGAATGTGATGGGGTTTTTTTAAACTCCGTGTGTTTTCAGACAGAAGGATGCTCATTTTTCTCTTTGTTCTTTTCATTCTGGCAAATCCAAATAAGCATTTTACGTTGCCTTTTCGTAACATTATATCCACTGATTCTACAGAATGTTAATATTTGGATTGATGTTGTTATGATGGACGTTGCATCTTCTGCGCTACATGACAATAGAAAATTATGACAGTCCTAGTCTGTTGCATTGTTATTTAAAACAGATTGGTTATTGGCTGGCTGGCTTCAGGGAAAAAACTACTGAAGCTGGCCTTCGTGAATATCATAATGCCTTTCATTTGCCCGTGGGACTGATTAGTAGTTAAGAGTGATTTGATCCAAAATCAGGCTTTGCAGGCCAGAGGTCTTCCCAGCGTGTTGTGTCTGCATTCACACTGTGTTGGGCGCGTGGGGGGGGATTTATGAATGCAGGTATTTGCAGCCATTATGTTGCTCAGAACAGTTCCTGCAGTGTTGCCATCTGATCAATTGAAGCTTTCTGCTTCTATACCCAGTCTCACTCAGATTCCCGTGTTGTCGTTGGTCACATTGCAGGTTCAGCGGCCTTTAAATAGGTTACAGGATTATTGGCTTTTTGCGGTTCATCTGCCGTCATATAAAATGCAGGAGCTTACAGCACAGAGAGCTTTGGGCCAGACGGACGGTAAAACAGTCTACATTTCATTAATGTCAAATGGGAGAAAACATGTCTGCCTGTGTAGGAGGACGGACTGCTCATGAGCATTTAAAAGTTGTTTAATAATTCCTAACACCTGACATTTTTTAATTAATCACACCCCAGGTTGTTGTTACCTATTTGCATAATGCAGACTTCTTGCATTCACCTTTAACAAAACATTCATGCATATCATTCACACGACTGTAATTGCTGTGTATTCAATACTGTATATTAATGTCCATTAAACTTCCAAATTCCACAAAGGCATCTTCGCTCAGAAGCACCTTCACACACACAAGGACGTGTGCAGAACGACAAAATAACTCAGCCTGTTCCTCACAGAAGTGGACTGAAAATTTGACATTGGATATATTTACAGTTATATTCACAATGCCTATGGTACTGCTTATGGTATGCATACTTTTATATACTTCCTCAAACTTCCTTTTTATCATCTAATTAGATCTTACATAAAATTTTTGTAGTTATCTTGCTTTATAATTTTCCTATAATATAAATTAATTAGGTTCTTGAATAATTTGTTTGTATCGGGATGTCACGGCTGGTATCTTTTAGAATATGCATTACCCATGGCGTACTCTAGGAAGGGCACCATTACTACCTCTGAAGTTTTCCCAGATTTTAGTTCTTAATATTTACAAATAAATACAATAAAGCCAATGTTAGAATACCTCCAAAGCAGTTTTAATAAGTGTCTGTTCTATGTCGGTTTTATTTAATTCTATCTTTTTTCCAGCATATGTTCAAACTTGTTTGGAGAAACCAAGTAAAACAGATAATCTAGGTCAGACAAAAAAAAAAAAATCAAAGAATTGACAGTAAACAAGATGCTGCAGGAGAGAGATTGCAAAGACTCTTCGTCTGCCTATGGGGAGCGCTCTTGGAGGGAGGAGGCAGTGAGCTTGTTGGGGAAAAACAGCCACGGTGATGCTTCAGCTCCACCAAAAATAGACACTGTATATAATCTCTGGAAAAGACAGAGGCAGCCTATGCGAATAGGACCCTTGGGCCAGGCCTGCAGGCAACTTGCAGGAACAGTGCTGTACAAGCAATAAACAGCGTTTAATTGCAAGGAAAAGCTATTGGATTTGAAAATGGCTCCACCGTGCAGTTACATCCAGAAGTGAAGCGAATTTCTCAGATTATCTAATACTAGTGAAGGGAAGTACAATTCAAAGGATTATATGTAATCATTAAAATCTTAAAAAAACAAAGTTACAGTTAAACATATATACCACTGAACTATTTAGTACAATGTATGATGAAGCTGGCATTGTTACTGTTATACTATTACCTGTGCTAAAATTAATTAGCTTTAGGCATAGTAATATAAAAAGAGAAGCAGCTAATGGTGAAACTCTTTATCCCCACTGGGCAGATGATGTCACCCCTAAGGAAAGCAGCCCTTTCATTGGCACTAGTGACACTCAGAAGGCCCAGCAGTATGACAGCAAGAACATGGCCCTGTTTGAGGTACAGTACTCCGTGGCAGGTCCTACGCAAATAAACAAAATAACCATTATTAATTACAGTAGTTACAGCTTGAAGGTCAAGTAGAAATCGCTCCAGGCGACTTCACAATGGGGGTAAGTCTATGGGTAAGTGTGTAACTTTAATTATTACCCTGTCATACTTGCTTTGTGAAAACCCAACACTGAGCAGTGTTGAAGTCAGTAAGACCTTGGATAAAGACCTCTAGGCAAAATATATTTGCTGCTGGAGGTGATGTTGGTGAGTAAATAAAGGGTACTTTTCCTCTGCACAAAGTAAAATTAATCCCAAGTGTGTGCAGTGAAGGTGCTATTGCAGTAGTACCAGGTGCCAAATTTCAGGTGAGCCTCTTACCAAAGTCCTATTTCATCCATGATCATCAAAGGTCTCCTGGCACCTATCAGAGGAACAGAGTTGATAAGTCCAACATTCTGGCCGAATTCCATTCAAGAATTTTTAGAAAATGAAGGCTACTGAATGATTCCCTAACTCCCTAATCTTTCAAAAATAAGGTTCTCTGTTGACTGTCCAGCTGCATAATAGTTTACAGCATGAGTAAGATGAATGCCACCCATTGGACAAGGTTGAGATGAACATTATTTTTATTCTTAACCCAGAATAGAACCATAGCCAAAAAGGTTATTGGATTTTGCGAACAAATAAATAAATAAATAAAATTCATTTCGTCATGGGAGATACTGAAAACACATATGCTTTTGAACTGACCAGTTTTAATTCTTCATATACTAATTTTTTTCCAGGAGGAAATGGACACCAGCCCCATGGTCTCCTCTCTTCTCAGCAGCCTGGCCAACTACTCCAACCTCCCTCAGGGCAGCAAGGAGCATGAGGAGGCCGAGAACAACGAGGAGGCCGTCAAGAAGCCCATCAAGGTACCTTCACAACCATCAGCAGGAATCGCAACACTGGGAAACTCAAGAAAAATAGCAGCAAGCAGTCTTATGAAGGGAACCCGATAGCCAAACAACGGATGGGGTTCACATGTGAAGGGAGACCAGGAGCAGGTGGCCCAGTTACACTCTTTCCCGTCCATTTTCATTACTATAAACCTTTGCGTTCTGATAGTCCTGGAAAAATTAGTTCATTCAGATAATGTCCTCAGTGCCCATTCTTACCCTTCATTCAATGTCTTTGCATTTTCCCTGTCTTCCCAAAATGACTTTTTTTACCAGTTGCTTTGCCACTTTTTGTCTTAATTCTGGGAATTAAACCCCTATTCTCCATACCCCAAGACACCCTGTGTTTTTTCAGCTTGTAATTTACATATTAGCATACTAATTAAATTTAGAATTTAAAGTTGCGGTCATGATTTTGACAATAAAATCATTCCAATACAGTTTAGTGCCATAAAATACTCTCAAGACTTTAGCAGAACTACAAGGCCTACAGGTATAAATTATATATAACTGCATATAAAATGTAAAATATAGCAACATCCCACTGCAAGAGTAATCTCTCAATTCACATTTTTGCATCATCCGGATTTTGCAGAACAATACCAGATTTCTCAAGGGACTTGTACTTTGTAGTTGTTTTAAAAAAGAACTGACTTCAATTCATGGAAAGATAGTAATGTAAAAAGAAAATGTACGGCATAAAATAAGTTTTGGCAGTCCTTTAAAAGAGGCTTTGGGCTTTTTGGAATCCAGAATGGGATATGACCTCTTCTGTGAACACAGGCTAAGCTTCCAAGTTCATATCCAGGGCAAATTAAAAGTACACAGGATTTAAAATGAATACCCAAATAGACATTATATAAATTTACACTGAGCCTGGGTACTCATCCTTCCATGTAATGAGCAATCGATAATGTGATGGTGTTACTCTTAAACATTTCTGACAAGTAATGATATTAGTCAGTCCACTAGAAGATAAGTACCCTCTGATAACAGCCACACATGCCTGCATTGGTCACTGTACAAACCTTTGATTAACAGCCAAACCAGCTCACCTACTCAAATCAATTTTACAGACAAATTGTGTTGAAACCAACGTTCAATACATATACAATTTACACTGTAGTGTAAAAGATTTGACCCTCTCCTACTTCTCTACTCCAGTGTTGTTGTCATGTAATGCATGCACATTTCTCATAATTACTTTGGCATGTTCTTCACACTAAAGAGATATGGTAGGTTATGTCATGAACGTACTCATTTATCTCTGACCATAGCAGGACTTGTTCAGCCAGGTCATGGGTGACAATTATGTTCACTGCCCCAGTATGGCATTATTTGATAATTCACTGGGCAAGAGCAGAAACACATTAGGACTGTCAGGTTGTGTAAGTGCAGCAAAGCATGATGCTGGAATAAGCTCCTTTTCTGCTGTCAGCTTTATTGCACTGCACTTCAGGTCTCTGCGATGGGGACTTTTCTCTCTCTCATTCATCTTCTCGCCCAGTCGGCTACTGCTGAGATATGCTCTGCGAGACTGTGATATGTATTAATGAATGTGATATGCAGCACAGCTCATTTTCCTTTTATTCTGGTCATTATCAGTGTCGTATCAAAGATTATTGCATATACAGAATGTGATATTGAGTCATTGGTCATACATAGGTCAGTAGACATGCAATGTAAGAGTACATACAGTATGTGCTATATAGTTCAAATGTATAAAAACCAGGCCACTTGTCCCGCATCCATTCCACTTAACCAGTATAGGGTCATCCTAGCCCAAGAAGCACAAGATACCAAGCAGGGGATTGCCTGGTCAGTACGTCATTCCTAAAAAGCTGATATATACTGTATCATATTGTACAGTAAAAACAAATATCATTTCAAAAGCAAAATCCTTAAAGTTTTTAGAAAATAATATTTTAATTGGAAAATTCCACATTAAACACAAAAGTATATGCTGCAAACTGCAGGTATATTTGTGGTAGAAATGTTGTGTCTTTGTATGGCGTTGAGGGGTCACATGGCGTTGAGGGGTCACATGCTTACACGGGACTGTACCACTCGCCTCCTTCCTGCTAGACTTTTACTGAGCAGTGGTGAATATTGATTATCCTCAAAGCTTTTGAGCAAAGAGCATTTCTGGTGCTTTTACGTCACAGGCTCCCCAGATGGGCACCTTGATGGGCGTCTACCTCCCCTGCCTGCAGAACATTTTTGGGGTGATCCTGTTCCTGAGGATGACCTGGGTAGTGGGCATTGGAGGGGTAATAGGTTCCTTCATCATCGTTTTTATGTGCTGCTCTACAGTGAGTACAGCCGTCCTTCCAGCTATGAACAAAACGTGATACTAAAAGATGTTATTTACATAATTGTGCAGTCACATCATGTTAAAAGACATGCATCAGCTATATTTCTGCTCTGAATATTCCCCCCACTCTGTATGTGAGTATTAAATCTATTGATAAAGAGGAAGGTATTTCAATATACTTACACAGAACTGCTGAAAGTCTTACCAGTACTACACTACTGCACATTTAATCTTGGCTAGGCTACAGGCTGCAGGCTACATGTCAATACCGTATCACCACCCTCTATTTTATCCATAGCTTCCAACATCAGATAACACTTAAAACAATTGCAGTCTAATCTCTTCCCTCCAGGGAACTGCCCCCCCCCCCCTTCATTGTTACTTGATCACAAAGTCACTGAGAACAGGCTTCGTGAATATTTGGCACACAGTTCCATGCTTAAAGTCCACAATAACCAGATTAGATAGAAAGGTGTATGATGACAAACGGATTTATCCTTTTGTTAAATAATATTGAAGTCTGTGTATGTACTTTATAATAATTTGTGTCTTTCTGTCTTCTTCATTTATATTGTGTCCCTGTATTTTTTTTCTTGTGGCTTGTGATGTATCCCTGAACCTCTGATCTTTGGCACAGTGCTGCGCTGTCTGTTCTAACTGTTATGTCACTTCCTATTTTGGTGCGGATCTGTTGAGTCTCACTGGAGATGTAAGGTCTGGCTTTCTGGCTTATTTGTTTCTCTTCTATTCTCAGACGATGCTGACTGCCATTTCCATGAGTGCTATTGCCACCAACGGAGTTGTGCCAGGTGAGTGAATAAAACCGTATGTGTCAAGCCACTCTTCATTGTCTTCGGTGGCTAATGAAGTCATCTTCTTAATCTACATACACACAGGTCTTAGGCAGGCTTACTGAAATGAATTATTAAATGAATTACATGAGAAATATGAGCAATAACAGATGTGAATTTATTAACCAATTGCAGTCAAGTTCAGATGAGTTGGAGGTTAATCGTCTTCGCCATGCACCATACGGAATCTACAGCTTTATGAAGGATAAAGTTCTAATGTTCTAATGTTGAAGAAAGGACCAGTTTAGTTTTTACTTTTTAACTTTATTTATTAAACTAATTTAAATTTAAATACATTAAAGCCCCCAAATCTCTTGGTTTCTGTTCTCCTTCAGCTACCTCAGTTAGTTATAGAATGTTATCCAACATTGTGCATGATTTCACTACTTGGTACTTGGTAATCAAATCAACCACTTATAATTAGCATTGTTTGACAGGAGACCAAAACAATTTATTAAGGATGTAGCATAAAAACAGAGACTTATCAGAACAAATATTTTTCACTAGCTCTACCTGAAAGACTCTGACTGGACCCCATACCTGACTGATGTTTTTTGTAAATTCCAGCTGGTGGCTCCTATTACATGATCTCTCGTTCACTGGGGCCCGAGTTTGGGGGGGCCGTTGGCATTTGTTTTTACCTGGGCACAACATTTGCTGGGGCCATGTACATCCTGGGCTGCATTGAGATCTTGTTGGTAAGAAAGCATGAATACACATCTTTTTTTAAACTGTTCTGGAATACCCTATACTATATTGTAATACCTTCAGCATATTTAAGGAAAATTTGCATGTTCCCACTGTCTTTTTCATAAAATGTTTAATTTTCTCCTCTGGGAGTATTTTATGCCCATTAAATATATATGCATACATAAACTATATGAGGCTTTTCTGTCAGGCATCATGTCTAATGTAACTCTGCTGCACTAAGATGAGCATTTTAAGCATTTAATATACAATTATGATGTTCTATAAGATGAATCTCACATTGGTTTGTAAGTGATTTCAGGTGAGAAATGTTTCAGGTTTTCTTCACAGAGCAACGCACCTAAATGTGCTTGTTTATAGCGTAATTGTGATATTCTGAATATTCTTGATGCTCAGCTTTGTTTGGGAAGTACAAATTTTCACAAAATTTATTCCATTCCTGTAAATATGAGTAAAAAAAAGGTGAAGGAAAGTGTACAAGGACTGTACTGGAGTAAATTTCAGACGTTCAACATAAAAAAAAAAAAATTGTGATCTAAAAAAGCAATTTTAAAAATATTAAATTTGGTAAAGGCTTGATGATTAGCTCAGTTCAGTTTCAAGTGGTCTGCTGCAATTCAATTTTTTCCATGACCCCAATATTTTTATAGCAATATTTTGCATAACATGAGGTTTTATTCAGAGAGAATTTCCCATAAAAAAACTACAGTTTAGCGATTTTTTTTTTCTCGCATACACTTGAAGTCGATGTATAAACAGTCAAGTAATGCACATGTAAGCTTATGGCTTGTTATTTGAAATATCCAATGCATTCTGTTTTATAAGACACTTTGAGTACACTGTTGGGGCTAAATTGAGGTTCATTTCTCTGTAGCGGCTCTGCATTTGTCCTGTAGAGCTATAGCAGTGGTATTGTGCTGTTGTCATGAGAACTACTCTAACTAGACATTAAAGGGTAATAACAGATGTTTTATATTAATTTCTTCCAAGAGGAGCAGGCGCTGCCTACTGGTTTGTCTGACTTATTCTAGGCAGTTTACCTCTTACTGGATTACCACAGTGGTGGATTATGTCTATCCCATAATGATCCTCCATTGCTGTCCTAATTTCCAGATATTCCCATTAAAGAGGTGACACTCACTCGAGGGACAATATCAGAGCACAATGTCCTTGAAACAAAACAGCCATTGCTTTTGTGCTACTATTGCCTTTTTTTTTGTTCCTTTTTATTTTTACCATAAAAAAACACTTGAGGCAAGTGAATCTCAGTTAGAATTAAACACCAGTCTATGAAGAGCTAATGTTTCTGTTTGAAAAAGTATGATACAAACTAATGAGTGTTTTCGATCTAATACCATAATTTGTTTGGAAAGCACATGAGCATATTTCAGGAAATCGGACTACTAACTCAAATTATACTAAAATGTTTATATTTGGATTATATCATGTTGCTTCAATGATGCTTTAATTAATGATGGCTTTTTAAAAAACCTTTTATACACATGTATTTAGTATATTACTCAAGAGTCCTAATTGGGACCCATAAGCTTCAGGATATTTGTCATGGTCAATAAATATCTGTAAAGCAAGTAACAGCCAGAACTGTTATCATTTTCAGTACTTTATGTGAATATTTCAGGACTGTTTGGCATTAACAGAAAGTTTGTGGCTGGTGTTTTTTCACTTTTTTCATTCTCTGTTTCTTCCACAGATTTACATTGTGCCTCAGGCAGCTATTTTTAAAATCGAGGGCCTTGAGGGAGCTGAGGCAGAGGCGGCTCTGCTTAACAACATGCGCATTTATGGCACCTGTGTCCTGAGCTTCATGGCCCTGGTGGTTTTTGTCGGTGTCAAATATGTTAACAAGCTGGCCCTCGTTTTCCTGGCCTGTGTCATTCTCTCAATCATCGCTGTCTATTCTGGAGTCATCAAGACAGCTATTGATCCGCCAGATTTCCCGTGAGTGCAGTTCCTCTCATGTTCTTTGACAAAAAGGCCCGTGACACACCAGTACACATAGCCATCGCTAAAGTTTTCTCGCCTTTGTGCCTCCTGTAGAATCTGCCTTTTGGGGAACCGTGCTCTGATCAGAAAGGGCTTCGATGTGTGTGCTAAATTTATTGAGAAAGAGAACGGCACAGTCACAACCAGACTTTGGAGGATCTTCTGCGACTCTGAGTTCCTCAATGCTACCTGTGATGATTATTTCACTAACAACAATGTGACAGAGGTTCAGGGCATTCCAGGGATCACCAGCGGTATCCTGGCAGGTAAAAGCCCACACAAACCCACATATACAAAGTACAAGTAAAATGTAAAACCATTCTATTGATTCCTATATGACTAAGCTTCCATGAAAGTCATAAATAGAAATGTATGTTTTGAATGGAGTCATCTTTTTGTCAGCTACTTCTCTCTTTCATTATCTGTTAATTACAGAGAACCTATTTGGTAACTACATGGACAAAGGTATCATCCTAATGAAGAAAGGCATCCCATCTCTGACAATCCCAGATGCTCCTGTGACCAACGCCAACCGCTATGTCTTGTCTGATATTACCAGCTTCTTCACTCTGTTAGTTGGGATCTATTTTCCATCAGTCACAGGTCAGTTTCATGTTAAGGTCATTTTTTTCTCCCCCGGGGAAAGAACTATTAAGCTCTACCTGTGTCCAGTGTTCTGGTGAAAGTCTCTGTGTACTCCATACAAAGACAAAAATATAATTTTATGCCTATATCTACAGAAGCACACTCTGTCAGTCATACCCATGCACTCCGTATTTCTCTGCCAGAAGCTGGATGCAACATGTACTTTTATCTATATATAATTTAATTGTGACGTTCTTTTCCTTACAATTCATCAAAAAACCTTCATTTGTTCCTTCCAGGTGTTGAAGGCAACAGCACAAAAAATCAAATCATTGTATCACACACACACATGTGCATTTTACAGATATGGGTATTTGTTGACTCGTTGTCAGACACATAAATATGGTACAACTATAAACAGTTGTTAAAACTCCTCATCGTCATTCTTTCAGGGATCATGGCCGGCTCCAACCGCTCAGGAGATCTGCGGGATGCTCAGAAGTCCATCCCGATAGGCACTATCATGGCCATCGCCACCACGTCCACCGTCTGTATCCTTCTCTGTGGACTGTGGCTTACAGTAGCTGTTTCCTACAGGACAGAAGCTTCTGACCTACCTTTGCAGCGCACGGCATTCTCCTTGAAATATTCCAATGGGCACAAAGCAGGCGTATCACTCATTTCCGCTTGTCAGTTATGATTATAAAGTACGTCATTCCCTTTCAGCTCTGTACATGGTGTCTTCTGGTTATCATTTATTGTTCTGATTATTTCTTTGTTTATTTACTAAGAAAAAGAAGATGTCCAAGCGTGCTGCATCTCTAAAAATCCCTGGGGAGGAGTAGCAGAGATTTAGTTGATACCCATGTTCTTAACTGGGGAGGACAGAGCAGGCTGTATGTAGGGGCTAGATAGAGGGGTAGCCTGGCCAGGGGAGGGCAGATTGGAAGAGGGCCTAAGTCCAACGCGTGGTGTGAGAGAGCTGTGAGGGGGCTTTCCAAGCAGCACCGGAGTAGGCCAAGGGGATTAAGGAAGTATGAAGTCATCCTGCTTGTTGGCATTCTCCGGGAGAGAGACGCGGCACGAGCGACCTGAAAGCTCTGGCCAGACCATCCTCGGAGAGGCTGCCTTTTCCCTTGGCCTTGGTGGGCTGGCCACATGGCAGCCCCATAGATCCCTGTCTCTTTTCAGCCGCCCTCCATGTTGCTGGCTGGTGAGCAGCCAGGACAGTCGGGTGAAAAGTGGGGCACAGATGGGAGCAATGTTGACAGGGCAGTGACGGTGCCACCCTGCGCCTGCTCGCAAACTGTCACACCGTCGTGTCCAGGTTGAAGCAACTGTGCAGAATTATACATCTCATAGCTCTCTGCCTGTGTACCTTTACGCCATATTCCAGACATGTCCTGTGTGATACTGTTTGGTGCCTGCATCGAAGGAGTGGTACTGAGGGACAAGTAAGTCTGATTTTATCCACACAAACTGGGAAGGGGAATATTAATATTAGTGTAGTGTAAATTAGATATTAAGAGGAGGTGACCCTCACCTATTTCATGTTCCTGTATGCAGATTTGGTGAAGCAGTTAATGGCAATCTGGTGATTGGAACACTGGCTTGGCCCTCACCATGGGTGATTGTGATTGGCTCCTTCTTCTCAACCTGTGGGGCAGGTTTACAGAGTTTGACAGGGGCTCCCCGTCTCCTACAGGCCATTGCTCGTGATGGTATTGTTCCTTTCCTCCGGGTGAGTATGAGTTTCATCTATTATTGACTTAGGTCACTAAATATGTATCTAGAAAAGCCACAGGTCCTTATGTTTATGCAAGCGTGTGCCTGCATGTATATTTGTCTGACAGCAGAAATGACCATATTGACCTACGTACAGTGTTTGTATGGCTTTATTCTTTATGCATTTCAGTGAAAGGATTTGTTTCAGTGTGTAAGAATGCATGTTTGTGAGATGATGCCTTAGCAGAATGTGGATTTGTAATCACACCCATGCTTACCGTTGTGTTCCTACGGGATTCTGTATAGTCAGTGTCTTTTCTCGCTGCCTTTGTTTACTTCATTCATTTGTTGCTCGTAGGTCTTCGGTCATGGCAAAGCGAACGGCGAGCCCACTTGGGCCTTGCTCCTCACTGCCTGCATCTGTGAAATTGGGATCATCATCGCCTCCCTAGATGCTGTCGCACCTATCCTGTCAATGTAAGTGCTTTCCTAAAAACAACAAAAAAAGCTCTTTGTTGACCCAGAACATTGTAAGCTTGATTGCCACACACTCCTGCGACACAGTTACTCTCAGAGGACAAAAGTTCTGGACTGAAAGCCGTGAAGCTGAATGAAAGAGAAACTCGGTACATTATGTGGCAATGCCTGTTCCCCTGCAGGTTCTTTCTGATGTGCTACATGTTCGTTAACTTGGCTTGTGCCCTGCAAACTCTGCTTCGTACCCCAAACTGGAGGCCACGCTTCAAGTACTACCACTGGTGAGTCTGACGGCCTTTAGTGGCCGGTAATGGCAGACACTGTGCCTTCTGCTTGCCAAACTAACGGGACCAGAGCCTTAGCTGTGTACCAAAACGTCTTCTATTTGTGTATACTATCTGATAAAAAAACATTAATATTTCATACCATTTTATAGCAGTAAATATATGTGATGTTGAACAGACTGTCTGGAAGATCAAGAACAAATGACAACCATAAATAATTTATTCACAGCAACTGTGATGGATCAGACTGACAGGTATTGGGCTGTATAATGATAATTGTATCCAGGCATGTGACCCTACGTTCCACTTTGACCTGCAGGGCGCTCTCCTTCCTGGGTATGAGCTTATGTCTGTCACTCATGTTCATTTGCTCCTGGTACTACGCCATTGTTGCCATGGTGATTGCTGGCTGCATTTACAAATACATCGAGTTCCGTGGGTGAGTAAAATACAAGATATAATATTCAAGTTTTAAAAAAGGGAAACCCGAGGCCAGTAGGAGAAGAGGATGGGTAGAGAAAGGGCATTCTTCTCCAACAGTTAAGGCATGAGTCATAGAATCGGGCCGAGCTGAGAAGGTTTTGTTCGAGGATCACTACGTATATCAGCATTAGCTTCATTTGCACTGCATTTGTGATGCTTTAGAGAAGCACGGCTAACCAGTGCTGGGAAGGTTACTTTAAAAACATATTCCATTATGGATTACGGAATACATGCTCCATAATGTAAATTGTAACATATCCTGTTAGATTACTCCAAATTAGTACTGTAATCTAAATATTTAGCATTACTTTTCAAACTTCAACATAAACATAAGGGATACGCAAGATAAAAAAATTAATTCAATTTTTTTGGTTACTTTAAAATTATTCCATTGATGCTGACAACAATTTGACTTCCGGCAAACAGAATTCTATATCTCTTTTGTTAGTATGTGTTTTTTTGTTTATTTTTTTAACACTGGGGCATGGATGCCACCTCCAAATAGACAACCATTGGATACATTTTGAATATCATGAATTAGAAAGTTCAAAGAATGTACAATGAAACTGAAAGTAATCTCTGGAGTAATATACCTGGTTTTGAAAAGTAATTGTATTATGTCTATGTAAATTTATAAGGTAACTCTAATGGGACACAATTACTCTTATTTTGTAATTTAAATATGTAACGCTGCTACATGTGTTCCTTTACTTGCTTACGTAACGCTACATGTATTCTGTTACTTGAGTACGTAACACCACATGTGTTCCGTTACTTGCTTACGTAACGCTACGTGTTCCGTTACTTGCTTACGTAACGCTACATGTATTCCGTTACTTGCTTACGTAACGCTACATGTATTCCGTTACTTGCTTATGTAACGCTACATTTATTCTGTTACTCACTAAGCCTGCAGCTAGCTGTCTTCTGTTGACTTGGATGATTGCAGAGCAGAGAAAGAGTGGGGAGATGGAATCCGCGGGCTGTCCCTCAGCGCGGCTCGCTTCGCGCTCATGAGGCTGGAGGAGGGCCCACCCCATACCAAGAACTGGCGGTGAGGCTCAACATATGCACAGCAATTAGCGTGTCTTCCATCGCTGTCATCGCAGTAGCCTTTATTTACATATTTCCTTTACTTAGCAAATCCTTTCCACAGAATGATATCTATTGAGCTATAAGCTACTTAAATTGGAACCAGCAGATCACAACTATTGCTGTTCAGACTAAAACATTCAAATTCCCAAAAGAGCTGTCATAATATTCAATTCTGTTATGAAAATAATGTTCTTTTGCTTTTTTCCTACTTTTTCATAAAAAATATGTAATATGCATTCTGCCAGTGATATTGCTAAGAAGACGACTGAATGGTTGAATGATTTCTCTTCAAAACATTAACATGCATAATTTAAATATTGCACGTTTACCAACTGTGTGAAAATGGGTAAATGCTTATTGTATGAACTACTGTGAGCATTTGTGATGACAAATAATATAATATTCTACAGTTTCATTTTATTACATATTAAATCCGTAAGTAATGTAAAGTTCATATATTTTGTAATGGATAAACCACTCTGAGGTGTGCAGTTATACAAAAATCATTTTTGGGGTTGGAGTAGATTATTTTTGTATAACTGCACACCTCAGAGTGGTTTATCCCGTTTATACCATGGCTAATACAATAAACTAGTCATGGTTAATTTTTCAGAAGGAAGTTATTTCAATTAGTATTTAATAATGTGTTTACATTGACTGCACCTTCATAATGCATTCATTATGTATTCATAGAACATTCAGTGCACCTTCATAATGCATTCATTATGTATTCATAGAACATTCAGTGCACCTTCATAATGCCTTTATAACTCATAGAACATTGAAAAGCAGCATGTCAGTACAGCTTAACATCCAAACATACCTTAACAACTTTAATATACTTTAATAACAAACATTATCTGATTATATGATTATAATGCTGGTTATAGCTGGAATTATGTTAGGAAGTTTATGTATGCTTACATGCTGTTCTGTGAATCCATTACGAAGTTGCACTGAATGTTCTACGAGTGCATTATAAAGGCATTATGAAGGTGCCGTTAATGTACAGTATTACCAAATTTAGTGCTTATAAGGACAGAATGTCTGGTCAGGATACTCACTGGAAGTGGGAAGTCATTTAAGTTACCATAGAAACCGTCAACAGACCGACACTTGCCTTATGAAGACCAAGTAAAATGACAAGAATGACTGTTTATTTATGATTAAAAAGTGACATGGGTTTTTATATTAATATGTTTAATAAAACATTAATTCTATGCATTAATATAGAACTGCTATTAGGCTGCCAGAACTACATGTGTGGTGACCAACACACACCTGACATCTCTGGACCAATAACAAAACGGTATTTAACAAAAGCCAAGGTGTAAAGCAGAATACAGTATAGTGAGCATGTGGTCACTTTGAGCATTAGAGCTGATTTTCCAGAGGGAATCAAAAAATGATTTAGTCTATTAAAGTGATGTCCATTTTAGCAATCTGTGTATCCTCACTCTAGGCCTCAGCTGCTGGTTCTGGTCAATGTGGACGAGGAGCAGAACATGGAGCAACCGCGGATACTTTCCCTAACCAGCCAGCTTAAGGCAGGCAAGGGCCTAACCATTGTAGGCACTGCACTTGAGGGAACGCTCCTCAACAACTACCCCCAGGCACAACGAGCAGAGCAGGTCAGCGCCATAAATACTTCACTACTTAGATTTAAAGGAAAAGCACTCAAACTGTATACCTTGATCTGTAACTTGGGTCCTCTTAGTCTTTGCGGAAGATGATGGAGATGGAGAGGGTTAAGGGCTTCTGCAAGGCAGTCATCTCCTCCAACATCCGTGACGCCACATCCCAGATAATCCAAGCAGTAGGGCTGGGAGGCCTTCGACACAATACTGTGCTGGTGAACTGGCCTCAGAACTGGAAGCAGTCTGAAAACCACCAACCCTGGAGAAACTTTATTGGTAAGTCAAATAAGTAAGAAGAAGATGTTGAGTTTAATCTGACTGATACAGTGAGCCGTGCTACAGGGAGGCAGGAGTCAGTAACCGGGAGTCACTCATGTGTGCAGAGCTGGTGAGGGAGACCACTGCAGCCCATCTCGCTCTCCTGGTGACAAAAAACATCTGTGCTTTCCCGTCTAATGGGGAACGCTTCACTGAGGGATTCATTGACGTCTGGTGGATCGTCCATGATGGTGGCATGCTCATGTTGTTGCCCTTTCTCCTACGCCAGCACAAGGTACTGAACTTCAGTCTCATCGGTGTGGAGATAATTATTATTGTCTTGCTGGATAGAACACGTGGTGTTTTCTCTCCTTAAACATGCATGCCTGCAGACTTGTAATTTGCAAAGATGAGCATGTTATGCATTTTAAGGGTGAACTATGATTGGCCTCACCCTGTAAACAGGTCTGGAAAAAGTGCAAGATGCGCATTTTTACTGTGGCCCAAATGGATGACAACAGCATTCAGATGAGGAATGATCTTATTACCTTCCTATATCATCTCCGTATTGATGCTGCAGTGGAAGTGGTGGAGATGGTAGGTGTACATTATTATTTTTCAGATAATGATCAAAGTAGCTCAGTTGAGAATATCCTCATATATACACACCAATCTTATTTAAACATTCAAAAGTTCTACTTTAAGTGAAGTGTGTGGTATGGGTGTTACCCCAAAAATAAACAGCATTTTTAAAATAGAGTACACATTTTCCTATACGACCTAAATATTAGAGTAAATTTATGTTTAGTTGTTAAAATATCAGTACAGTGGTACCTTGGAACGCAAACTTAATTCATTCCAGAAGGCTGCTTGAGTTGTGTTTTGGTCGAGGTCCAAGTTGAATTTCCCCATAAGAAATAACGTAAATGAATTTAATCCATTCCAGACCCCCAAATGACTGTCTATTTAAACTTATCAGCTAATGATTAAAAGGATTAACAATCAATATTAAACTAATACACACATGGAAAAGCACACATACAAAAGCAAAAAACATTAAATAAATGACAATCCCATACTCCGTAGCGAGAGCAGACACATGTGCACCACCTTCAAGTCTCGCTATAATTTCCTATTTAAGTTCTACAGTTACTCTTACTTTCCTCTGTGATGTGCTGCTGTCACTGCTCACTTTCTTAAGGGCCGTGATTACTGTATTACTAAATGTAATGTAGATGAAGCACAATCACACTGAAATTTCAAATTCACACTGAACACAGGAACACAGCTTTCACACGTCAAACTCGGTCGAGAGGTACCGCGAGAGAGCAATTTGTAGGCATCAGCATGCTAGTAGGTCCATCTGCCTTTGTTTCAGCCCATCAGAGATGCATCTCCATAGGTACAAATTTTAACAGGTCTGTTTTGTTTTGTCATGTTTTCGGTCGAGTTGTGGCTAGATTTTTTTAAACCGATCCATTCCAGGTCCGAATTGGTAGAGTTGAACGCGCCTCCAGTCATACAAGCTATAGCAGGAACGGTCGAGTTCCAAGACTTCGGTCGAGGTACAAGTCGAAAAAAATTCAACAGACCCGTTTGACGTCCAAGTTGGTCGAGCTAAGAGGCATCCGAGTTCCAAGGTTCTCCTGTATTAGGAAGAGTGCCAAAAAGGTCATTGCACAGTGCTGCTTATCTCAGCAAATGGCACTTAAAATATATGGTTATTCAATGAAAATTGATAGAGTAACACAGGAAATCATCACCCCACCATCTGCAGTGGGTTGGCGCCCCGTCCTGGGAGTTTGCTGCCTTGTGCCCATAGCCTCCGGGGTAGGCTCTGGATCTCCTGCGACCCTGAATAGGACAAGCAGTTACAGAAAATGGATGGATGGATGGATGGATGTATTAACCATGGCCTCTCTTTCATCAGCAAGACAGTGATATATCAGCCTACACATATGAGAAGACTCTTGTGATGGAGCAGCGGTCACAGATCCTCAAAGAGATGCATCTGACAAAAACTGAGCGTGAAAGAGAAGTAGGTCTCATTCAATTCCTTTATTCTGTATTGTGTGTTCATTTAAATGGAATCCAAGGCAAAACATTATGTTTTTACATTTTGCATTCACATTTGTTCTGAAGATGCTATTATCCAAAACAACAAACATTTCTCTTTTATTTTTGTTTTTTTTGAGACAGTAGGGTGAGACAGCCTCTTGAGCAGTTGGAGCTTAAGGACCTTGCTCAAGGACCCAATGGTGAAATAGAATTTTTAAAAATGCCACAAAAAGAAGCTTTGAAATAGTTCAGTTAAATCATTTGTAATTTGTACATGAATTTGTAAATGCAAGCACAAATATTTTATGCAATTTCAAAATACATGACACTTGTTAGATCCAATATAAACTTTCACTGGAGGAATTGTAGATTAATTTATTTGCAGAATAAAAGGACTGGTCCTTACACAGTCCCTTCAGGATTTTGCAATTCTGTAATGGCAGAAATTAACACCAAATCAAGTAAACTTTCATGAATTTGCAATTTTTCAAATTTACTGTAGCTTTTCCACAAGTGGCTAAATCAACAGATTGCTTGCATTTGACTGTGACACATCCTGGGATGCCATCACAGTGTGCATTCATATGGGGTCTGGCTAGGCTCAGCTGCGGGGAGGACCAGCACAGCAAACACATTTCATTTACCGAAAAGAAATACTGCAGAAAACCATGCAAAACAATTCCGGAATGTGGAGGCAAACTTTATATTCTGTAAAGCTGAAGCATGAGATGAACAGAGCACAGATGAAAACAGTTCCCTCCATTTTGATGTCCACACACCATTTTGTGTCATGAAAATTTCACAGATCAATAAAATGGCTGGGGGGTTGCCAGTGAATTTCATAAGGTTAACCACTTCCATTTTTTTTCAGTTGCTAACAGACCTCGTGAATGTGAGAGGTTGTAATAATTGAATGTCAGGGTCTGTACCGTCCATCTCTGCCCTTCGTGTCCCCTCCCTGTTTAGCCAGCAGGTGTTGCTGGCCATCCTGTTCTCCACCATGTCTCTTGTCCTTGATGTCCCTAGTGTGTTTTCCCTGTTCCCTGCATGAGCTGAGCATGTGGCTATAAACCCTTTGGTTATGAGTTTGAGGCCAGCCTCATTTGTATTTATTAGATTTTTATTCCCTGTGTTTATTCTCTATTAGTTTTCTTGTCCCTAGTTTGTGGTTTCTGTTCTGTTTTGGTTTTTGCTCTGTGTCTTTGTGATTATGTATTACTTGTCCTGTTATATTCCAAGTGTTAGATTCTGTTTCCAAGTTTCCCTGTTAGCCTCTTAGTTACCTTGATTAAGTTTATTAGATCCACCTGTTTTTCATTACCCGGTATTCATTTCTTTTGCTCTGCTCCCCATTTGTCTGATCCTATGGTTTCTTGTACAGTGGTACCTCAGAACTCGAACTTAATCCCTTCAGAACTCTGGATCGAATCCTAAAAAGTTTGAGTTCTGATCAAATTTTCCCCATAAGAAATAATGGGAAACCAATTAATTGGTTCCTGGCCCCCAAAAAAATTACACCTAAAGATGTTTTTTTTTTAACATTTAAACACAAAATTAACCAGATAAAACAAGAAAAGCATATACGTACTAAACACATCTAAGCACATTTATCAAAACAGTAATTTGTAAAGTAAGAAAATAAATGTATCCAAACAATGTGTAAAGTTAAAAAAACAAACAATGTGTCCTGCCCCAATCCACACCCCCTCGTTAACTCCATGTGGAATCCCCGTGTGATCAGCTGTTTCTGGTTGTTGTCATTAGTCCTCTGTATTTAGTCCGCGTTTCAGTTTGTTTCCCCAGTCCGGTCATTGTATTGTCCGTCTGCGTTTTGCCTGCCTTACCTGTAATTAAACCCCGTATTCCCCGATACCCTGACGTCTGCGCCTTTGTCTCCGTTCCGTCCCCGCTTGGCCCGACAATATTATTATAATTAAATGTATTAATGGTCTATTATTAATATTAAAATAATGAATAAGAAATCTTTATTGTATTTTATTATATAACAATTACTGTTACTGTCTATCATTGTCTAAATGTCTAAATATATGTATTCAGCTAGTGTAAACATGCACGATGCTATCGCAGCGAATGCGAGGCTGAGACTGAAGCTTTACCAGGCCTTTGTTTCCGCTGAGAGACGTGCCGCGTGACTCGTTACCCCATGCGTACAAGTTATCTTAGGTCTGCATTCATGGTTTGACTTCTGAGACTCAGATCGAGCTCTAGGTAATTTTTTATCTAACTGGTTGGTACGACTTTTAAGAAATTGAGTTCGAGAACTGAGGTGCCACTGTAGTTTTGTTTCCCCTGTGTTGCTTTTTTTTGGACCCCTTGTGGTCCCTTTATTTTGTGCCTTCCTGGTTTTGCTTAATTTCCTTAAGCCCCTTTGTTGTCTTGGAGCTGTAGGTTGCCTACTTCATGGCCCGCCGCCATGACACTGCAAACATGCTTTATTTTTTAAAATTAACCAACCCCTTCGCTAATCCTCCAGCATTAGGAACCCCTAGTCTAAATGAAACAAACAATAGGCACTTTGGAAGTGAAGCTGTACATTTTTCTGTTAGTCTATTTCATTTCATCTTCACTTGGTAATTGTTAAAAAAATCTGAATGTGCGATTTTGCCAATTTATGCAAATTCTTTGCAAAAAAAAAAAAAACCATGGTGCACTCCACAAGTTGCGTCACAAATTCTGAGAAAAGCAGCTGTAAAGTCAAGCATTTTTTGGCCAACAAAATCAGTGAGATCCCAGTGGGACTGCTTACGAAATAACGAGTAAGCCCAAATGCTTCCAAATGCTTGTCTGGTGTAGCATAATGAAGAAGTCATCAGTTCTAAAGAGACAGAAAAGGCTGATAACCAGCCCTTGCAATGGACCTACTGTAGAATACACCACAAAACACACTGACAAGGGTGATCAATGAGAGCAAGATGAGCTGTAATTGGCTATGAGGTTTGGCTGTGACTGTATTGGGAGTTACTGTATTGACTGGTGTGACAAAACACAGGCAAAGTGAAGAGGAATGATGTGAATATGTTAAAAGAGGTGAAAATACAAAAATCAGGCATGTTTACATAGTCAAGAGGTACTTGGTGAAAAGGAGCTTAATCTGCATTAGAAGCAGCAAGGTTGTGTCTGTGTGATAACATGGCACTTTTCAGTAATGAAGAGGAGAAGAGAAATGTTTTGTCACATTTTGTCAGGCTGAGGATATCTGAAGCTTCAATCTTTATGTCAGATTTATTTTGATTTCAATAGCTTCTGAGAATAGTTTATGAATCTACAAAAAACATTTACATAATAAATGAAAACCATATAAAAGTAATTAAGGTTCAGAATTATAATTACAATTTCAGATTAAACCTAACAAAAAAAAATACTATGTATCTTGTTTTCTGTATTAATTGGGCGAATGCACATATTAAAATTATCAGATTGTCACTGTTTTGTGATTTATATTAAACACAGCATTCTGTGAATTACACAAATTCTTCTGTTCTCAGATCCAGAGCATCACAGATGTTTCTCGGGGATCCATTCGTCGCAAGAACCCAGCCGGTGTAGGTGCCCAGCCAGGCGGGAAGGAGGAGAAGCCCATGGCCAGCAATGAAAAACCAGAGGAGGAGGTAACTGTTGTTCCCCTCCAGGACCTCTCCACCCCTCCCTGAACCTGAGCATGCCGATAATAATGGAGATGCAGTCTCTTTGTGCGTGCAGCATTTTAAGCTGCCATTAGCTTTCTCATGCTCAGATGAGGGTGATATTTTAAAAGCTTCATAAGCCTACTGAGCAGATCTTCTGTGTTCCCCTCTTCCCTTTTCACCCTTTTTCTGCCAAAATAGATGCATCTTATTGACAACAAGAATTCCACACTGACCCCAACCAGCCCAGTGTCCCCTGCTGAGGGCCCTGAAGCCTCAGGAGACAAGGGGCACATGACATGGGCAGAGAAATGTGATGGACTCAAGGACCAGCCACCAGCAAACGTCTCGGCGGGAATCAAGGACATCTTCAACATGAAGCCGTGAGTCTCCTGCCTGTCTCACATCAGCTCTTACCCTCAAATATGTTGCTTAGCAAATCAAAATTCTATCAAAGTATTCTGTTAAACTATTTCTGAAGGAACAGCAGGGTTTCCACTGAAGTTAAAATATACATCTTTTAAAAGAGAGAGAGAGAGGGGTAAGAGAGCATGCGCTGATTACAGCACGCTGCTGCACCCACCACACAACAAACCACCTCAGGGATGAGAACCTGAGTGCAGCCATGCAGTGGGTGATACCTCAGCACCACACACCAGCAATAATGGAACAGTATGAGTTTTTTCCAGTGGCTGGAGTGCCAATAATGCCGCCAACCCCCAAGTTTCCCTGTAAGTTGGAGGACCTCCTTGGAGGGCTGGATGTAGATTAGCATCATACCCAGGACAAAGCAATTGCAGGTTAAGGGCCCTGCTCAACGGCCCGGTGGAGTATTATCGCTCCTGATAGTCACAAGATTCAAACCAGCAATCTTCCGATTGATGGTATAGAGCCCTAGCCTCAGAGCCACACCTCTGCCTACGATTTTGAAAGAGAACACATTTTATATTTAATTCCAGTCTTTTTATTTCAGTCATGTTAATTTCAGTCATGTTAATTTCTTTATTTCTGATCTTCTCCTTACCATGCTTCAGAGAATGGGAGAATCTGTGAGTAAATGTTGCTGCTTAGAACATAAGAACTTGCTTATACAATACTGTAATTATTGCGGTGTATTTTAATAGCTGATAGTTAACATTTTCACTTACTCTCTTTTTTATTACCATATCAGGAACCAGTCCAATGTGAGACGTATGCACACTGCACTCAAACTGAATGAAGTCATTGTGAATAAGTCCAAAGCAGCAAAGCTTGTTCTGCTTAATATGCCTGGTCCACCCAAGAACCGTACAGGTGAGGAGAACTGTATCCTTTTCTCATTCAATGACATGGCAGGGGTGCAGTCACTGAGAATGCTCCCATTGCTTAGTGGACAGCATAAAATATGGTTGTGTATTCCAAGATGATTAGGTAGCTGATTTTTACAGGTCAGACTGCGAAGTCGGAACTATGTCAACTGCATTGTAGGAGTTCTGCAGTGGTGGAACTCAGTCAGTCTCTGCCTACCCTGCTAAAAAAGACAACTTAACCAGGTTAAACTGGTTGAATTGGTTGACCAATTTATTATAATTGACCAGCTTTAGGTGTTTTCGCATTATGCTTTAATGGTTTAGCTGGATATACCAGCATGACCAACAAGACCAACTGGTGCCTCACCCAGTTAATCCATCAAAGAGCAGCAAGAGCTGGGACATGACCATCTAAGACCGTCTTAGACCAGCCAAAACCAACTTCCAGCATAAGCTGGCTTTTTCCTCAAGGTAATGTTTAAAGATGCACATTTGATCATATCAGTAGCTGACAGGAAAAAAAATCACTACTTATGGTAATATGTTTCATTTCATAGTGCTTCGTTGGGTGTGAATTTTAGGTTTCATGTTCTTTTTTCTGTGGGCACTTTAGATCAGCTTCTGGAGACAATGTTTGTGCACCTTAACAGCATGTCCCTTTCAGACATGGAGTTCCTCGAGGTCCTGACTGAAGGCTTAAATCGAGTCCTCCTTGTGCGTGGTGGTGGACGCGAGGTCATCACCATTTACTCCTGAGTCATGTGACTTACCACTGCCCCTAGCTTTCGCACAGATGGGGCCTGAGTTCTAATGGACACTATCCATACCATAGCAATAGTCCTCTTACCCCTATCCTCATACGCCAAATGACTTTGCACTAAATATCTACCCCTTATATGCACCATTACGTTAAGAAAAAACACCTTGTCCGAATTAATTTTTGTTTTCAGCGTAAGTGAAGATCTGGCTGTTAAACTGCTGTTTAGTGTTGCTCACTTAGTTTACTCACATGCTTATGATTACCCAGCATCTGTCTGTCTTACACAAATACCACCGCAATCTCGTCTAACACAAGTAATGTTTCCTTCTTTAAGAAACTATCTAGCTATTCTTGGTTTTTACTATTACTATTGCTAAAGGTGAGAATACAGAAGGATAGCACCAGGCAGAGCTATAGGGTTATTAAAAGGCAATGCGTCCTTGGCTAAACTGAATTGATTTCTGGGGTAAGATTAGGTTAGGTTTTGTTGGCCGATCTGTGAATACAATGGCCACCAGTTAATTGTGGGTAACAGCTGCAATGGAGATGCAGCTAGAGTGGATAGTTTCACAACTAGAGATATTTGAAACAAGGTTTTGAAAATCTCTGCCTGAAGAAAGACCTTTTGGCTGTATACAATAATCCAGCCTGTGAGTTCCATGTGCAGCATCTCTCCGCATCCTGTGGCGGTTTGTTCCTCCAAGTGCCAAACAGACCAGTGTATACATGGTGCCCAGCAAAGGGTGCTGTTGGTCTGAATTCTTACTGTGCCCCTGCAGGAATGAAAAGGCAGTTTGTTGTGGCATTTTTGTGGGTTGCATCTACACCCTTTGCTCCACTGACTATGCAGGGTGTTGGATAAATAAGGGGATTTTCCTGCATGGTTCATTTTTCCGAATTCAAGTGTCACTGCAGGTTGGAGACTAGTAGGTATTTATAGAAACCTGTGGTGGAGAGAAAGCGCCGAAATATCGGAAGGAAGTTGAGTTTGCATTTATATGGTACATGATACATCGTGGTGTCTCCGCTAAACATTAGCATAGAGTATTCTTTGCTTTCAGTATGTTATTTTAGATAATGAACATACCCATCCTAGAGAGTCAATTGAAACACTTCAAGCTGAATACCTGAGCAAAGTTTGAAATTGAGGCCACAGTGCAGTTTGCACTTGGCCACCTTTATGCGGCAATGCTTTTCTCACCATGAATTATACAATGTGTTTGCGATACTGTATAATCAAATGCTCTTTTGCAATATTGACAATGACAATGATGTACAATTATACTGCTTTCTAAATTGTTAGATATACTTTTATATATATATATATATATATATATATATATATATATATATATATATATATATACACACCATATATTAATAATGAATGTATTTTACATTTTCCCTATTTTTCTTTGCTTTGAGTTCCTCTGCTACAGAACAAATATCCACCATCTGCCAAATACAGATGTCCCCTGTGCCAAATGAAAACAAAATATGTCTTTTATATATAGCTGCATTTTTTTTTGATAAGGGACCGATCATTTAAAATGGACATGCAGCTCAAAAGTCTTAGAGCTGAAACATTAAGCATTGTTGTTGTTTCAAACTAAACCCAATTTCCCTGCAATATATTTACAGAATGATCAATAGTATCATTTAAAGATTATATGTTTTTTCAACAGAACAGTAGCCAATTCAATAAGAAGTGCCCTACAGTCAATTCCAAACATAACCTATTTATAGCAGGATGTATGGAATTAACCTAAAATATTTTCATATTCATATTCATGCTGTATTTGTGAAAGAAATGTGCAATAGGTGTGCTATGGACTTTATGTTATTTATTTTTATATACAAATATTTTATATACAGTACATAGATTTCATATCTATAAGAGTATTATAAAGATGTGTGTTACTGAAAAGTTCCTGAAAGTTTTCTCTTGTAAAACATTCTGTCATTTGAGTTGCTTGTAGTAGAAGTAGCAGTAGGAATGACCTAGAAATATGAATTAAGAACACAATTGATTTAAAAAATACATATTTCAATACATATTTCGTGTATCTATACAAATTTTGTGAAGAAGACAAATTTGAAATGCTGCTATTTATTGATATTAACTTTATAAAATATAAACTGTACACAAATATCAGTAAATACACAAACTAACCAGGAGAATATACTGCTAAAACAATGCATATCAATGTCTATGACCATAGGGGATTGTCACTTTCAGGGGTCTTACAGGCCAGGGTAATACTAGTCTATGGTTTGCTGTTGGTTGGCTTTTGTTATTGAAACAGATCTTGCCTTTATAAAGAGGTTTAGCGCTTATTTTAATTGTTTTTGAGCGGTGAAGTTTCCTGCCTGGTTGTAACAACAGAATAAATTAAGTTTTGCCAAGTTCAAGAGATTTTATGAGACTTATCTGCATTTCAAATATTTTTGGGAACTTAGAGATAAACAACATTCAAGGACAAATGCTGTAATCGCAGATACTAATTTTAAAATAGCCTTTTTAAATCTTTAAATTGCTTTCTAATATGTATTGAATATGCTGCATTCTATTATGCTATTATACCTGCATGCTGTCATGTGTTCTCCGTGTGTCTACATGTGCTGATGTGTTGCATGCATTTGTACATGTACTTTTATGGTAAATATATCCACTGGCACTCACACATTCTCATGAGCACGTTTCTACATGTGTTCACATTTGCTACACGTGCATCAAGATGCCTTCATGTCTTGTATTGCACTCAAGCACTTAAGTATATGCAATCTCTGCTTTGGCAGTTAACAGGGCAAATTAACATTAATATAATTAGTGGATTGGCCAGAGCACACTTAGTTCATATTGCTCACCTTTCAACAAAAAAAGTTTTTATAGTGTTTCTTGGGAATCTGATGCATGCTGGGGGAGTTTTTGACTGCATTATGTGTGATTATATGAGCAAACCACGTTTTAGTTTATCGTGATTTTGGGATACAATCCGGGCTGACTCAACCTTTTCAGGGGCCCTAGTCAAACATTTACATAGGAGCCCCCCCCCAACAAAAAAATGATCATAATTTCAGGTCCTTCACAGAGCAAATCGGGGGCCAAGGCACCTGCCTGATATGCCTATGGATAGAGCCGGCCCTTATTACAGTGGAAACATTGCAGAAATGCATCACATCTGCACAGCTTGTAAATGGAGCTTAGCTGGGTGCTGTCCACTTCTCACAAGCTTCAGACAACCTTGAAGCATAGTTCTTTATGTGATTAATTATTAATACTGTGATTAATATTATTTTACTTTTCGTAAATCTTAGGACGGGTGTAATTCACTGGTTTTTTTATGGTTGTTCGGAATTCATTTTGCTGTGACAATCATTTGCACAGAGCATCCTCTAGATCACTGATAGTTAGGTACCTCTGATGATTTAAGAACTGGATGCCATGGAAAGAGAAGCAACAATTTTATATGAGGAATTGTAGCCCACACACAGCAAAATAAATTAAGCAAGTCAGAAATCTGATCCAAACCTGTAGGCCAAACATAGACAAAACAGGGCATATTACCAAATCATTAACAGCAACTGTTCCATGTGTCATATCAGCTGTGGCATGCGTGGTTTGTTATTGAACTGCTATGAGAAAGTCAGAAACATGTATCTTCAACACACTGCTCATATTGATTTTATACACTGGGCTCTCAGCAGATTGTATCTACCATTGCATTTTAAACAAAATGCTACCTCACGATGAAGTGCTTAGTAAAGCGCTTTGGCCAATGGTAAATACTGCTCTGCCAATTTTAATTTTAATAACAACTGACTGAATTTGACCATGGAGTCTGTTTAAAGCATACTTAAACTTCTTATGGAATTATTATGGACATTATGGAATTAAGTGTTTTTTTTTTTAAATGATGAACCACCCATCAGACCCTGACTATGGAGAAATGCAGATGAATGTAAACATACAGTATTACTAGTCACTATACTTTTTGTATGAAAGTCAGAAGCAGGTAAACAGAGTGATGAAAGGTGAGGCTTGTGAATCACTGTGAACCAGTTTGTCAGGCAGAACCATTTTCTTTACTGGTGCAGTATTCTGTTGTGTTGAGGTGCCCAGGAGATTACTGGGTCATTTTATAGAACTTGTTTGACTTGGCAACTCAAAAATGAGTATGTTTTATATACAAAAGTTGAAATAGGGTCCATCCTTCCTTCCTTTTTCTATAGCTGTTTGTTCTATGCAGGGTCAAAGGTCTAGAACCTATTCTGGAAGCTATGGGCAAAAGGCATCGAGAAAGATTCAACGTTTTTAAATAGCAGTGTAATTATGTCTTTATGAATCCTCATATTCAATGTACAGTGGTACCTCAGTTCTCAAACTCATTATAACTTGAATTTCTTAAAAGTCGAACGAACCAGTTTGAAAAAAATTTCCCTTGAACTTGATCTGAATCTTAGAAGTCAAACCGTGAACACCGACCTAAGATAACTTGTATGCGCGGGGAAATGAGTCACGCGGCACGTCTCTCAGCGGAAACAAAGGGTAATGCTTCAGTCTCAGCCTCGCATTCGCTGTGATAGCATTGTGCATGTTTACACTAGCTGAATACATATATTTAGACAGCAAAAATACATTTAGACAATGATAGACAGTAACAGTATAATTATTATAATAAAATAAATTTTCTTATAAATTTTTTTATATTAATAATAAACCATTAATACATTTAATTCTAATAATATTATCGTGCCCAGCGGGGACGGAACAGAGAAAAAGGCGCAGACGTCAGGGTATCGGGGAATACGGGGTTTAATTACAGGTAAAGCAGGCAAAACGCAGACGGACAATACAGTGACCGGACTGGGGAAACAAACTGAAACGCGGACTAAATACAGAGGACTAATGACAATAACAAGAAACAGCTGATCACACAGGGATTCCACACGGGGTTAACAAGTGGGCGTGGCACACGGAAGGAGCGGACGATCAGGGCAGGACACATTGTTTGGATCCATTTGTTTTCTTACTTTACACAAATTACTGTTTTGATAAATGTGCTTAGATGTGTTTAGTACAGTATATGCTCTTCTTGTTTCATCCGGTTCATTTTGTGTTTAAATGCTAAAAAAAACATATTTCGGTGTAATTTTTTGGGGCCGGGAACCAATTAATTGGTTTTCCATTATTTCTTATGGGGAAAATTCAATCGGAACTCGAACTCAACGGATTAAGTTTGAGTTCTGAGGTACCACTGTATTAGTATATTGTCAGAAAGAACAGTACAGAATTGTTTGATCATCTGTATATATTGGATCTCCAACTGCTACAGGAAACCACTACAGTTATTTGTGTGATTTGGCATACCTTTCAGCACACAATACATCATGGTCATGAATTGGAACAACAGTGAACATGTCTCATGCAAAGCATGTCTTACCTACGTTGCCCTGGTTGTACGGCCAATCCATCACAGACAAGACAACACTGTGTTATTTGTGTGCTGCCAGCATGTATCTCAATTTGGTTACTCTTTTAGCTCTAGCAAGGCCCTGTTGTGATCTGATTGACTACTGGGTTGCAGTTCTAGCATGACTTTAGTGTGTTTTCTTATGTATTATGCTAGTATTTATAGCATGACCCTGCTGTGATTTGTTAGCTGCTGTGATTGAATTTGTAAACATGGCATTGGTGTGATTTCTACGCTAATATGGTGGCATTTATAGTGTTGGCCTGGTGTGGTTTGTTGGCTGCTATGGTTGCATTTGCAGTTTGGCACTGGTGTGATTTGTTTGCCATTACTGCTGTCCTTGCATGGCCCAGTTATTCTTTGTTTTCCTGCACCCTTGTAAGTAGCAGTTATATCAAACTAATAGCTTAATGTAATGAATTTCATTTGATTTATTGATTGTTCTTGTATTTTTCAATGATACGTAATACTTCGATTACTGTAGCCACAGGTTAACGGGTGATTCATGGGGCAAAACTTATGCAGAGAAAGAAGTTTTCAGCAATATCTGAATTTATTGCTGAGAATGAACTATAGATTTAATCCAGCTACCTGCAAATAAAACTGTGTTTTTACCAAAGAGAAACCGTGGTAAAAAAAATGGTGGATATATTTTATTTTGGCAAAGTCGAATATGTAGCACAAGTCTCAGGTGGAGGGTTATAAATGGTAACACTTAAAGGGGTAAAAGCGATGTATCGATATATATATTCATCCTATAAATCATCAATTTTCTAAACCACACATCTATAAGAGAATGGAAGCAGATTAAAATGTCAATATT